TTACCATGAAGAGTGTAAGAAAGAGTGTGGTTTTGTTTTTTGGTTTTGATTTTTTGAGAGTAATATAAAATTTCGTTGCGCCAAATCATACAAAATTTACTGCGCAAATATTTAACAAAAAGTAGTTAAAATTTTGCAAACACTTTAATAGCAGTTACCAAAAAGTAGGTATAGCACAATTTTTATACCAAAAATTAAAAAATATACGTCCATATGTTTGCTGTCAAAACTGCAAAACAGACAATATTTTAACTCTTTTTATAAGGGTACGCATGTATTTCCTGTTAAAATTTTTTAATAGGGTTCTGAATACACCTGACTATAAGCAAAAGCTCTTGCGTGTAACGCATTCATAAGCTTAGTTTTCCACATGATATTCAGTTGACTTTTACATATAAATTAAGTTTTTACTTTAATAATTTTTTGCTTTTAGTTTATGTATATTTAAATTTGCAATTAATTTTTAAAAGTATTGTAATTATTATTCTGTTAATATTGTATTTGTAAAAATCTGTAAAAAATTATAACCAATATATAATAGTGGATATGCCTCTTGGGGAACCGACATATAAACTCGGTAAAGCACCTTTATGCATACCTCTTGGGTGGTGTGGAAAATGCATACCAAATCTTGAACTTTGGTCGAATAAACTACATAGCTAAATAAACTAAATGTAGAAATAGGAAAATACAAGGAATGTAAAAAATTTGTTATAGTTCTTTTTTTAAATTTTCACACAATAATGATGAAAGAAAATTAATTTTCATTTAATTTCTATGCATATTTCTAATAAAACAGTTTAACGAAAGTATTTTACTATTTATTTTAAAATATTAGTAAGTGTGCATTTTATGTTCACATTGAGATTAAAATATTTAAAACATAAACATAAGGCGCTACATGTTAATGATCATATCATGAACCCTAATAAATTTATGTTTTTAAGATCATTTAAATTCTGAAGAAAATATTCATATATTCTATACATAAACAACACAAAAAAAAATAAATATGTTTTTAATTTTTATATTATGTAAATATTTATAATATTCATTAAACAGATGAACTAAAAATGTATAGCATATATCTCGTTTAAATCTTGCATTAATTCTGGTAAATAATCAAGTCTATTTCATTTCATAACAATAATAAATTATGTAAACAACTTGTACTTCTTTTAATTAAACTTAGCTAATATTTTTAAATACTTTAGTATTTATATATAAATATATTTTATAATCATAATATAAAATTAAAATTTTTCAATATTAAAATTTAAAAATTGTTAAATTTTATATAAAAATATATCTTCATAAGAAAAACTCATAAATCCGACAATGAATGCGCATGCACCCACTCTTATCAATAGATTTTTCGCTACTGATCACACACTAATGTACGTAAATTAATAATAAGTATTATTCACCACATACATTTAGAGCGGATGCGCGCACATCCTCCCTTATCAACAGATTTATTGTTACTAATCAATTAGAAATGCATGCAAGGCAATGATACGTACCACACATTTAAAGGGAATGCGCGTACACCCTTCCTCATCAACATATTTTTTGGCACTAAATTTAAAAATTAAGTCTTCGCAGAGAAACACAATTTATCATGGATCACTTAAGTGCTGCCGTATAAAAAAGTGAATTGGTAGTAGCTTCAATCTTTGTTATTAATTTCACATCAAAACGGTATTTAATGCTATTATATCAAAATTGTTTTTGAAATAATGTTTTACACGCTCTAAAAATATATAAGAAAATATAACTCACTAAATAAGAAATATTCAAAACTGTTTGTTTTTATTTAATTAAAAAATTTGCTTCTACAAAAGTTTGTTGCCGAACGTAATAAATTAAAATATTATAAAATTCATATGAAAATAGCAACAAAAATTAATTTACTGAATATATATTACATTATTAAACAAACTAAACTGATTTAAATTAATTGATTCAAATTATTATATATTAATTTATAAATTTATTTATCATATATTACTTGTTACAATATATATTTTGTTTACGTAATGTAATATTATTAACCAAATAAGGAAGCATAAGTTTTTTATATTACTAAAAAGTTAACATATGATTAACAAGTAGCAGCAAATTATTATACTGCAACCCCAAAAAGAGAGCAATTTGATGTTATCGTGGTAAGATCACATGTATTTAATACGTGTGCTGAAATGTTATAAAAAATAAGTTTTCAAAAACAATTTCAAATGCACTCTCACGAAGTGGGCGGAGTTTCCGTTCTTGTAAAGATATTCTTTGGTACATACGAATTTTCCAGTTAACTGTCAACGAATGATTTCGTTAATTATTCGTATTTCGTAACAAACACGTTAATTTTTTTCTATTTATTTTTTCACTGTTAAAAGGCATGAACAATTATATCTTATTCACAATCATGTAAAAAAGATATTCTCACGAATAATTACAAATAATTATTATTCATATTCGAAGTTTTAACTTTAAATGTTATAAATATCTTTCATATGTAAGCCTAATAAAATTTCTATCGAAAGTAGTGCTTATTTTATTTGTTCTTTTGCGACATGCTTACAAAAGAAAATACCTATAGTCGAATATAATCGAATTTATAAATTCTAAGTGACGATATGTCTGTCAACTATATTACTTATATATATTTAAATAATTCAAAGACATTGCATATGTCGCATATATATATGTTATCGCGAAAATAAGTCATTAGATTGCTTAGAATTATGTACATATAAGAGTATACTAAAAGTACAAATATGTATAATAAAAATAATATTTTGTGCATTATTGCCTCGATGTACCTCAAAATAATTATTTACATCAAAACTTAGCAAACTTTGCTTTTAAAAATTTATAATCAAATGAAAACTTATTAAATTTATTTACTTATTCAGTTATATATTCTTTTATTGAGACGTTGTTTCGGAATTGCTAGTAAAAAAAATAAAACGTCAATTTTGATTTTGAGATTTTGATTTACAAAAATTTTAAATTAAATATACGTTAATTGATCTTGGACGAGTACCGTTTCAAATATTTTACCGCTTAAGCCAATATGAATAAATTAGATCAAACTTTAGATGATGTTCAAAACACACGCTTCGACAATACCTACCATGACTTTTTGGCGTATATGGTTAAACAAAGTGTGTTTACATCCATGGAAGTAAAGTGCATTCTTTTGGTTTATCATAAATACGTACTCGCCAATGGACCCAAAGCAAAAAATATGACTAGAAAACAATTCTTTCATCTATTTTTAGTTCTTTTCCATATTTATGATTTGCAGATTATCGAACGGATC